ATCTGTCGTAGTCCGTACATTCCACCTCGTGAGTTGCGGCAGTTTGCTCCAACTGCGAAAATGCGACATAGTGCAAATGAGCAATGGGACTCCTGCATCTGCTGGACTTGTTTTGTTCTTGTCGAAACAAATCCAGAGTTTTTTGAAATGTGGCCTCTACCAAAGCTCTGCACGGCAGGAACCTAACCCCTTTCAGGACATTGTTGTAACTCTCCAACGTTTTCGTTGTCAAAGTGCCCCATCTACATTTTTCATCTCGATACAGGGTCCACTGGTTCAAAGGAATGTTGAAAAGATAATTGTATGGGTCGGGATTAAATTCTTGAAGTCGCTGTTTTGTCTGTCGAAACTTTTGCTTCGACAACTGCGAACCCAACTCCCAACACCAATCCCGGATTTTCTTACTCCTGAACCGAGTCACCACGTTGCTTCGAAGGTGTCGAAGGCAAATCCGGTGATACGCAGCGGGTTCTTGCCAATCCGGTAATGATTCAATCGCACTGCGTAGACCCACATCCCTGTCAGAAAGAACGCATATCTGTCTGTCGAATACAACATATCGTCGCAGATTCCTAAGGAAAAATGACCAACTGCCCGAGCTTTCTTCGTCGACAAGCGCATACGCGATTGGCAATAGCCGCTTATTCGCAGTCTGTGCTACGGCCACGAGCAATTTCCCTTTGTAATGTCCACGTAAATGTGTACCATCAACGCTAATAACCGGCGGGCACATTTCGAAGGTTCGAATCGCGGGACCAAACACCCAGAACACATATTTGAATTCTCTGTCTGGTCGCGCCACATCACTGTAACACCCCGCTATTTCCTGAATTTCAGAGCACGCTTTTCGCAAATTTCTAAATAAAAATAAATAAAATATTTCTTTTGCGAAATCTGATTCGAGGTGTTACCGTAAAATCTGTCTTATCTGAAAAACCGTTAATTTTTTAGTTTAATAATAAAACGGTTATATAATATATTAACCGACTAACGTCGGGTCAATAGCTGGTTCAGTGTACTGAAAATAGTAGCGGAATCATAGTGTGGCCAAAACACGATTTATACATATATTTACAAATGTCCTGAACCGGTCGCCCGCTCACTCCTCGGCTCCGAC